TTCCCCCAATTCGTAGAATAAAACAAGCATTTCTGTATATATAAATAATAAAACACGGTATAATAAAAAAGATGATTGCACATGAAACTGCAAATGCATTATATACAACTTGCTATTCCTTTTAAATGACTATTATAAATACCCAAATTAACTACAGAGGACATATTAAGGAAGATACTATCTGCATCCAGAGAAAGAACTGATAAATAGAAGCTTGTATAGAATGATTTTTACATATAAATGGTAGCCATCTCTGGTGGGGAGGGGGGAAGAAAAAGAAAAAAAAAAGAGAAATTTACATGCAAGCTATTCTTCAACACAATCCAAGTAGCTTTCTTAGTAACTGATTATGTCACTGGCTTGCTCAAAGACCTTAAGTGACTCTCTACTGACTCCAGAATAAAACACAATCCTGGCATTGTATTTTATTGATTGTATTCACACAAGGCGCTATAAGATTTATCAATAGCTCCAACTTACCTTTGCAGTCTTATTTCTTATTACTCTTCTTCATGTATTTTGTGGTGTCTTAGTTAATAGGACTGTTAGCTATTCTTTTGATCTCAATCTGCCTTTCCCAGGCTTCCAAATATTCTCCTGGAATATCCCTATCCCTGGAACACATTCTCCTTCACATCCCTGCTTTTTGAAATTTTTTTCTTCCTTTTAAGGTCACTTTCAAGGTATATCCTCCAATGTTCCTAAAGGAAAATGATTTCTTCCTCCTTAACTTCTTCACTGTATTTAACCTACATCGTTCCTTTGATTGCCTCGTATCATAATTGTTTGTGTACAAGTCATAATCCTTCCATTAAACTTTAAGTTTCTTGAAGGTAAGGACAATGGTGGGTTTTGCATCTGTGTCCTCAACTCTGATCATCATGCCACACATATGTAGGAGCTTAGTAAAATGCTTATTGAATTTAATCAGATTACTGTTGAACTGACCAAAGGGACAGTTGGGAAATTCACTGAAGCAAAAGTATAAATGTCTAATGGTAGAATTTCAGGCCCTGTGGTAGGGCAATGAGAGAGACATTTTGGGGATCACAGGCGTGCCCTGAATTCCTCATCTCCCACCACACAGATGCTTATTGATTCTGTCTGGTCATAAGATTAGCCTAGGCCAGCTTTCCTATTCTAAGGAACCCGCAAGCTTTAACAGTCTGATTCCACACTTTTCTGCAGCTTTCTGGCTTTTGAACTTACACACAAGCACAAAATGTTAACACTAATTGATTAAATACTGAGCTGTGGCTCCCCAGGAACTTTTGCTGCTTGGCTTCTGACATACACTGCCCACTTTTATAGGGAATTTGCCCTTTTCCACAGAACAGAGCATTTAAAAATGTTAATGCTGAATATAAGGAAAGTTTTCTAACACTGAGATAAATGTGATTTTTTTCTAGTCTTTCTTGGCTTAAAATGTCTAATAGGACAGGGCTGGGAGGGAGAAACTGTCCTTGGTTTTACATAAGTGATAACTATCCCTATACTCTTCCTGGTGTTATCTGGATCCAGAGTAGGGATTATACTTTCTCTTCCTTTTTGAAGGCCCCCCTCCCTCACATGTACCCCATGCCCTGTGTGTATGCTCAGTAAGTGTGGCTGGATGCTCGACTATATCCCTAAGTTTCTAAGGCCAGAACTTAGTCAGGGAACTTGGCCATTTGATGAATTTACATTGCCTGGGTACCATGTTTTCCTGACCCACCGGGAAGGAGCTATATGGAACTTCCCTGTAGAAACCTCAAGGATCATTTTACTGCCTACCTGTTCACCTTGGTTTGCACTGAGAGTTAATTATAACAGAAGCATTTGTTACATTCAATTCATCTGGTTATTTTAGCACATAGATCTTTAAGATGAAGTAGTGGAAAGATCACTGGATTTAAAGGTAAAGAATGTGGGCAGCTGAGTGGTGCAATGGATAGAGTGCTGGGCCTGGAGTCAGGAAGAACTAAGTTCAAATTTAGCCTCAGACACTAAAGGAAGGTTCCCAAACTATTAGGTGCCGAGGGGACATAAGCTTAGCTGGAGCCAGGTGTGGGAATGTTTTGAGAGGCACATAGGGGAACCTATTGGCCCTTTTGCATGAATTATAAGATTGCTGTGCCCCTAAGCCATAGTTGGGAAGCTAGGCTGGGCAGTGGATAAAGCACTGGGCCTGGAGTCAGGAAGACTCATCCTCCTGAGTTCAAATCTGATCTTAGACACTTTCTAGCTGTGAGACCCTGGGCAAGTCACTTAACCTCATCTGCCTCAGTTCCTAATCCATAAAATGAGCTGGAGAAGGAAATGGCAAACCACTCCAGGACCTTTGCCCAGAAAACCCCATATGGGATCACGAAGAGTCAGACATGACTGAAAAATGAAGGAGCAACAACAGTAGGGGTTCAAATCTAGGCAATGCTTACTTACGTGTCATTTGAGGCAACTTAACCCTTCTGGGCTTTGGTTTCCTCATTAATAAGATGGGGGAAGGGGAAGTTGGATGAGATAATCTCCACGATTTCTTCCAGTTCTAAGTTCTATAACCCTCCAACAACAAATGGCCATCCCTCTGCTAGATCTGGGCTGGCAGAGCTCTGGACGAATCTCTTCTCTTTCCTATGCTAAGCCAACTCACCATAGGCATTGGCATAGAAAAAAGCTGGGGGAAAAATAAAACTTAAAAAGGAATCTTCATCTCTTATAAACTCCTCAAATAATTCTGAGCAGGCCACCCTGAAGACATGGAGAAGGGGGCTAGCCCCAATCAGAACAAGCTGGCTCCATTTGGCAAGAGAAGTAACATCAAATCCAGAGCCCAAGAGAATTGGAAATGGGACATCTGGTGCTATATCAACACAAAGCTCATTACGGGACATTAGAAGTAGGCATTGGGTTAGAGCGGGAATAGGGAAAAAGATTGAACTATGTATACAGTTCTGGAATAAAAGAATTAATGGAGATGAGCGTCAACTCAATTCAGGTATTATGAAGTGCCTACTATGTGCAGAATACATATACCGGGATATACTCTGGATAAAACATATGCTTAATTCCAGACAAGCTTAATGAATTGGATTTCTGTTGGCTTGCAGAGGCTCACTGGGTCAGGTCAATAAATATTAGCATAGCAAGAAAGACAGTATTGTAATGTGGGCACAGAAAGATACAGATGGGACCACAATAGGAAATGGCCTGTGATTTTTCCACCTATTCTGGGGCTACAGTGAACAACTGGGATGAGTTTGCATCCGCACTTCCACCCGGGGGCTGTAGTAACTGAGGTATTAAAGGGAAGGGAGCAGAGAGAATAACATTTCCAGGCTGATACAATTCTGTAGTTTTCAGAGTGAGGGCAAAGTGAGGAAGAAGCCAGGTGAGACTTTTAAGTGTGGCTAGGCAGCAAAATTCATGATGTTTGTTGGACTGAACTGTATTCCTCTTACCTGCTTTTATGTGCTAAAAAAAACAAAAAAACTCTTCTTTCTAAAAACTCCCTCTAGGACAGATTCTTAACCTTATTTATATGATATATCTCTTTGACAGTCTGTTGAAGGATATGGACCCATTTTAGAATAATGTTCTTAAATGAATAAAATAGAACCCATTGGATTACAAAGAGAACCATTTACATTGAAACAAAGATGTAATCTTTCCCCCATTCAAATTTACAAAACCCCTGAAGTATATCCACAAATCTTTTAGGGGTCTATGGTCCTCAGGTCAGTGAAGTGCTGCACTAGGAATTGTAGGGTATGTATGTGTATGTGTGTGTATGTGTGTGTGTGCGCACATGTATGTGTGTGTATCCTTGGTGTGTTGTGTCTGTGGCTCACAAAAGCACAAAGTTATAGCATTATGATCAAGAAAGGAACTCAGAGGTCATCTATAATGTAGTCATAATTATAGATAAGGAAACTGAGACCAAGAGAGGTAAAAAAAAGTGAGCCAATCAGGTAACAGGTGACAGAATTGTGTCAGTCACTGTCTTGTGGTTGGACTTTCCTATACATTAAGGTTTAAATGTGAAGGAGCACCTTCTAGGATACTCTGTGAGTCACTTGTCCACTCCTGAGAAGTATGCCCCCCAGGGTACCCAATATAAGAATAATGTGCTGCCCATGACACTGGGTTTCAATTTTAGGTAGAGAACTTAATGGAGGCAGGCTTTTCTTCTACACAGCTTTTGTCTGAAATGGTCTTGAATGAATGCTAGACATTGCACTTCAAATTTGACAAACAGTCCTGGGACCAGTACTGGTGAGCTGGGAGTTGAGGGTTGGTGAAAGCTGTACTTTTCCCCTAGGATTCTAAGGCAAGAGCTTAGTGGGAAAGCTTGGCCACTTTTTTGCTCTGTACTGCCTGGGTACTATGTTATCTTGAGCCATTGGGGGTGCAGAGCACTATGTGGAGTCTCTTTGTCCATTCTAGGGCTTCTCGTGGAAAGGGGCCAATTCTCACATCTTTAACTCTTACTCCCATCAAGTATTCTAGCCTATGACAAGAGAAATCTGAAGGGGACAAGACCAAATGCCTTCTCCATAGCTTAGAATCCCCATGCAGTTTCTGGAACCACTTAAATCTCAAAAAGAACTTGAAGAGCTGGTTTAATCTACTTCACACCCATAGGAACTCAAACAGAGTCTCTACTACCTAATAATTACAAATGGCTCATTTATAAACCAGAACTTGTCTCAAACTGAGAGGGCCTTTTATAGGAAGGATTATATGTTTTAGGATTATAGTATGATCAATTTAGAAATGGAAGTAACCAAAGAGGCCATCTAGTCCAACACTTTCACTTTATAGGAGAGGAACTGAGGCTCACAGGGGTTAAAGGACTTGACTTAGGTCACACAGGTAGCAAGTAGCACAGCCAGGATTTGAACTCAGTCCCTCTGACTCCAAATTCAGTGCTCTTTGCATGCGATATAGCAACAACTCTCTTCCCTCCACTTTGCCCATCCCTCAAGCGCACATAGCTGATCCAAATTCAAGTATTTCCTTACCCCTTTGCAGATGGCCACAGCTTCCTTTGACATAGACTTGGGATAGGCCACATTGTGCTCCATGATAGACTGGAAAAGTTCATCTTCATCTTCTCCTTCAAAAGGAGCCTGTTGTACGGAAGGTTAGAAAAGCAGGGACAAAGAATTAGTAAGGAAGGAGGCTTTTGGAAGGAATCCTCCTTTGAGGATTCTGGGGGTAACCAGTATGTCAGATGAAATTATTCCAATTTTTAATGTGGTTGGCATATTGACTATACCCCTTCTTAGTGTCTTGCTTTTCTCTTGGCTGGGGGAAGGAAAGTTAGATAATGAGGGGGTAAAAAGGAAGGCGAGTGGAGCAACAAATGCCTGCTAGAAATCAAGGGATATCATGGTTGGCAGAAAATCTACCCAGTTCTATAGAACAGGCAAATGAACTAGATTCAGATGAGGGGGAGGGAGAATATTCTAGGTTAGAAAATGACATTCTCTGCCATCTTTATAATGACCAAACCTGGTCCCTAAGAATATAATGAGAAAATGCACCTCATTCCCTTCTTTGCAGAGGTGGAAGGCTACGTGTGCAGAGCTTGTAGTTATTTGGTTAATTTGGCTGAACTGTCTTTTCTCCCTTCTTTGCTATGAGAGGTGGTTCGTTGGATATCAGATGGGAGAAAGATACATTGGGAAATTAAAGTCACATAAAAACAATATATCAAGTGATTTCTTTTTAGAGAAATCCATTCTCTGGTAAAGGCTGCGAGGATACTAAATGCCAAGGTATAGGATTCCAGAGGATTGTGAGCCATAGAATAACTTAGAGAGTTTAGGCACCATCCAAGATAGAATTGTCATGCATGCTTCTAATAACCTTACTTTGGGTTATTCATTTTGAATTATAATAAATCCTAGATACAATATAACATAACATAATACAACAATGATATATGATATATTTTAAGATAATAATTATGATATAATAAATTCTGGAAAATCTAATCCTGAGGTCTGGAGGGTGCAGCAGACAAGGAGAGAACTGGATGTCCCAGTTAAGATGGTATCAGCAACGTAAGGGGGAAAGGTAATAAAGAAAGAAGGGAAGCAAATTTCTGAACTTGGAAAGCCAAACTGGCTCGGAGACTTTAAAGAACAGGAGGCTTGAATTGAGGGTTAGAGGTCAGGTTACTATTTTCAAAAGTAGTAAAGGAGAAAGCTATGGGACTCAGTGCAAGGTCCCCTGAATTGGTTCTAGGAGGGAGTCAGAATCCCTAAGAAAATGGCTCAGCTCAGCAAGCCTCAAGTCTAAGGTTGGACCTGATACATCTCCCTCCATACAACTGCTCTTCATCTGGGATATTGGCTCATCCTCAGTAATGTGTCTTTTCCTCCTTGGGACCCTCTCAGTACTAAGCAGGCAGAGAGTGGACTGGGGTGTGTGGCCAAGGAGGAAGAGGATGACAGGACAGCTGTGATCCAAAGCTAGATGTTTTGAGCTTGGCTGCCCACCAGGTCAATTCCCTGTCTTTTGCACGGTATAAACAACCTGACGGGATACCTATTAGCACATGGACTATTGGTGAAACACACAGACCAGGAGGAAAGCAAGTCCCGCATGAGTCACTTAAAATTCAATTACCTGGCCAGCCAACATTTCATACAGCAGCACTCCAAATGCCCACCAATCTACCGACTTCCCGTAAGGTTGATAGGCAATTATCTGGAAAACACAAAATGTGTCATCAGGATTATGAGCAGATTTCTGTCTCTCTGGGCAATACCACAAGCTAAGTCCATTAATGATAAAGACCTGGACCCAGGATACGTGCTACATTTAACTCATGCACATCTTTAAAGATACCCAATCCCTTTCACAATGCCACGTACCAAGATTGTGTTGGCAGTTAGGAAAGAACATGAAGTTGTTAGGTCTTTCCCTCTTCCTTAAACTAAAGTAAGGGTAAGAAATTTGGATGACCTGGCAAAGACCCTTAGACCCCAATCTTGTCCTGTTCTCTCCCACCTCCTTCACAGACCCCCAGCTCTATCTATTAAAAGCTTTCCCTCCCCTCAAGACCAGCTTCAGGTGCCATGAATTCTTCACTGATTCTCCACGTTAGAAATAATCTGATCATCTTCAAACCGCTCCTAGCACTTTGTATTTCTCTTATGTCCTGATCACACTCTAAATGGATCATGGTAATTTGTATGTGGCAATTTGTGAGAGACAATATGCTGTAGTGAATAGAAAGCTACCTTCAGGGTCATGAAGCCATGAGCTCAAGTCCTTCTATTACACATACTGTGTATTGACTGTACCCCTTTTTAGTGTCTTATTTCTCCCCCTCTGTCCTGCAAGTCACAACTGCTCAGGCCCTCTGGCAAGACTAGGACACTATTAAATCACAAAAAGAGTGTCTGATTTGCATCGGTAGAGAAAGCTTCCAATCAAATCCCAGATCTGAACCCCATAAAATTTGTATAGGGTCTTATCTCCTCTACCAAACTACAAGGGAATAGAGACTATGTAATTTTTTTCGTCTTATTTCCCAAATGCGGAGTGTGCATAATGCCTGTACAAAGCAAGCACCTAAACATTTACTGAACTGAATTAAATCAGTTGAATGGATTTGAATTGAGCTGAACTGTTGACAGGGGAAAAAGTACTTGCCAAAGCTCTTCTCTCCTTTGATTGTATTAGGCATGGCATATTCTTGTTATGGAGGAGGAAGTGGAGTTACATAAATCATACCTTAGAAGGAAATAGAATTTTAAAGGGACAGGAGAAAAAAAAACCAACCCTACAAACAGAATGAATAAATAATATTACTGAAACAAAAATCTGATCGTGTGACACCCCTCTCCCCCAACTCCAAAGTCTTCAATGGTTCCCTCCTCCTTCATACAACACTAATTCGTCAGCCTGGCACTTGTGGTGGTTCAGTTGTTTCTCAGCCACATCTGACTCTTCGTGACCCCATTTGCAGTTTTCTTGGCAGAGATCCCGGAGTGGTTTGCCATTTCCTTCTCCAGCTCATTTTACATATGAGGAAACTGAGGCAAATGGGGTTAAGTGACTTGCTCAGGATCCCACAGCTTGTAAGTGTCTGAGGTCAGTTTTGAACTCACAGAGATGAGTCTTCCTGACTCCAGGCCCAGTGCTCTGTGCGCTATGGTGCCACCGAGCTGTCCCTTTAAGTGTCTGGCACTTAAAATCCTCTTTCTCCCCTTTGAACAATATCTGTTCTCATCAAATTGGCCTGTTAGCAACATGGCAAAAACGGAGCCTATATTCATGCCTTTGCACTCCCACCTCATCTGTATCTTGTAGAAATGCTAGCTTCATTCCAAGCACAATTCAGGTATCCACCTCCAAAAGGTGGCCTTTCCTCACTGCTCCAGTCATTAACACTCTTCCTTTTCTGAAATAATTTCCTATTACTCTGTATTTACTCATGCTTATGCTTCTTACCCCACTAGAACACAAGTTTTTTAAAAGCAGGAACTCTCATTTCGTCTTTGAATCCCCAGTTTTAGCACAAATAGTAGGTGCTTAATAAATATTCGTTGAAATGAATGACCATGTTCTCAAATATTTGTCTAACATTTAATAAATGTATTACTTGCTTTTACCCAAAAAAGGGTATTTTACAGTAAAATTGACTACAAAATGAATTTCCGTAAAGTCAACCTATTTTTCCATTTTCATTTTCCCATTTTCAAATAAAAGACATGTTCTCATTGGGTAAAAACAAAGAAAACACTACCCTGAGATGAAAATGGTGGTGATTAAGGAGTATTGGTGAACTCGGGCACACTCAACATTACACTGCAGCTAAAGGCACTGTCTTCTGGGAGTTGGAGAAAGAAAGTGGAGTATACTGGAAAGAGGGCTGGGCTTACAGTCAGAAAGGACTGGCTCAAATCCTGCCTCTGACACAAACCAACTGTGAAACCATGATAAAGTCATCTATGATTCTCAGTTTCTTCATCATTAAAACTGGGTGGCACTGGAAGGGGTGGTATTACTCACCTTGCAAGATTAAAGACCATGAGCTCACACATAAAGCCTTTTATAAACCCTGAAGCATTACATAAATGCAGCTGTTTTAATTTAGTTTCAACCCAACTCTTTGACTTATACTGGTCCTACCCATGGCCCATAATGGGCTGTGGCTAAATAATTCTCATGATGCTGATCAAAGCCCTCTGATTTAGACAATGGGATCTTCTTTAAAGAAGGGGAGAAGTTAGAGGATGAGAACTGCCAGACTAGTTTAAGTAAGGGGATCCATTCATTCAAGAATTTCACCCCAAGGAAATCCCCAGATACGCGTCTGACTCTCTCTAGGCTTCCCCATTATGACTTAGTTATCTTCTAAGAGCTTTGGGTCTTCTCACCCTGAATTATCCCTTAGCCATGCCAGTCCCCACTTCTATTGGCTCCCAGAGGCGTCCGTTTTGGGACAGGCCCAGGTTGGCCAGACTTCATTCCTCTCCCAGCTATATTTCTGACTTAATGGACTTGGACACAATTCACCTACAAGTTTTTAGTTTTCTTTTATATGTTGTCTTCCCCTATTAGAATATAAGCTCTTCAAGGGCTGAGGTTCTTTTTCTTTTTTGCTGGTTTTTGTATCCCCAGAGCTCAACACAATGCCTGGGACACAGTAAGCACTTAATAAGTGCTTATGGCTTATTGTCTGCCAAGGGCTGTTTAGATACTTCATAAATGCTTATGAAATTGAATTAAATTCATATGTCTATGTGGAAGAGTTGTAATCACAGAATCTTATTATAGGAAGGGACTCTAAAAGTCATTAAGTCCAACCTCCTAGGAAAAACAATTCCCTCTTCAACATCAATTATAGCTAGTAAGCTAGTCTTTAGGTGAATACTTCCATTGATGAGAAGCTCAGTATTTTTTAAGGCAACTCATTCCACTGGGGGAGGAAGGTAGCTCATAATATTCTTTATATTTAATGAAGACATCCTTCTGGAATAATACAAAGTAAATTTTCTCTATCCACATGAAAAGTCTTTGGATATGTAAACTTAGCTATGTGGTGCAGTGGATAGAGTGCCAGGCCTGGAGTCAGAAAGACTTCCTGAGTTTACATATAAGCTGTGTGACCCTGGGCAAGTCACTTAACCCTGTTTGTCTCAGTTTCCTCATCTGTAAAATGAGCTGGAGAAGGAAATGACAAACCACTCCAGTATCTTTGCCAAGAAAACCCCAAATGAGGTTACAAAGAATCAGAAATGCTTGAACAACAAAAACAATCATGTCCCACCCGTCTTCAGCTCTCTAAGCTTAACAGATTCCTCTTTCCTTGAGCCATTTATCAGAGAAGTTCCCCTGTCCTATACTTATATAATTTATTTTTAAAATCTTAAATACAGAATTTCATATCTTTGGAAGAGAATGTTATTCTTGTTACAACTCATTTCCCCCCTAGCATTCTAGGCTGTTAAGATAAATTTGAATCTTTATTCTGTCATCCAACCTGTCAATGACCTCTGAGGCCCCTTGAAGGTCTAAATTTATAATTCTATGATCCTATAAACTCTCCCTTCCAGCTTCATGCCATCTATAAATTAGGTTTAAAAAAAAAACCCTTCTATTATCCTGGGAAGCTTGTATATAGCATATTTGTACTGTTAACATTTTTTTATGAGGATGAATTTTCATTGTACTTTCTTTTTTCTGTAAATTGTTTACTTTATGTGTTATATTGTCCTTTACATACAGTGCTTCAGGATTCCAGTCCACTTGGCCATGTCTTTACTAGTGAATTTTTACCCTAGCAGCAAGATATTAAAATAATAATAAATTAATGTTTATATAGTACTTCAGAGGGCAGCTCGGTGGCACAGTAGATAAAGTGCTGGGCTTGGAATAAGGAAGATTCATCTCCATGACTTCAAAATTGGCCAGATACCTATCAGCTGTGTGACCCTGGGCAAGTTACTTGACCCTGTTTGCCTCAGTTCTCTCATCTGTAAAATGAGCTAGAGAAAGCAATAGAAAACCACTTCAATATTTTTTCCAAGAAAATTCCAAATGGGGTCACAAAAAGCTGAACACGATTAATCAATTCAACAACAAGAAAATAGAGATAATAATAGCATCTATCTCCCAGGGTTGTTATGAGGATCAAATAAGATATTTGTAAAGTGCTCTGTACACCCTAAAACCGTGATATAAATGTAACTTATGATGATGCTGTTTTATAAAGTGTCTCATATTTAGCCAGCATTTTATATCATTATCTTATTTTTAAGCACTTAATTTATTCAAGAGCCTGTGCTTGGCTCTGGGGAACAGAAAGAATAAGTAACACATGTTCCTTGCCCTCAAGGAGCTTACAATCTGGTGGAAGATGTATATGATTATGCAAGTAAAAGAGAAAGACGAACATAAAAGCAGACTGTTGTTTAGTCATTTCAGTCAAGTCTGACTCTTTGTGAACCCATTTGGAGTTTTCTTGGCAAAGATACTGGAGTGGATAGCCATTTCCTTCTGCAGTTCATTTTACAGATGAGGAAACTGAGGCAAACAGGTTAAGTTATTTGCTCAGGGTCACACAGCTAGTAAATGTCTGGAGATGCATTTGAACTCAGGGCCTCCTGCCTCCAGGTCTGGCACTCAATTCACTTCACTACTTAGCTACTCTACAAGAGCAGAAAGGGAGATCAAATGAGGCAGACATTACTGTCAGATGGAAGGATTAAGGATGGTTTCCAGAAAGAGATAGAGTCTGAATTGGGACTTAGAAGATATGTCAGCAAGCAGTCTGAGATTGGGGCAAGCAGGGAATTCCTTATATATAGAATAGGGTGAGCAAAGGCACAAAATCAAGAAATCAGGAATCACATTTGGTAAATAGTAATCAGTCCAAGTTGGTTGTACTTCTGCTTTTGATTTTTGATCCTATGAGGTCAAGCATTGGGCACTGAATGCAAACTTCCTGACTTTACAATGTGGCCTAAACTTAACCATCCTAATCCCTTTGTGTTTGATTTTTATAGGAATCAGTGTTTAGGAAAGAACCCTTTGAATTTCATGGATACAGGGAGATGTTAGTACATGCATCCCTCAGTTTAGAAAATAGGTGCATTACTGACATACTGTGTATAATTTTGTGATGTTTTGGGAAATGATGGCTATTTTTCTTTTGACTTTCATTAAAAAGTTGGAGTTGGGTAATAAGGAAGAAAATAGTTTCCAAAACTGAAATGAAAAGTTTAGGCAGAAAGAGGGTTAAAGTTAGGCCTTGACCATAAGATATCCTAGCTAGCGTACAAAGGTCATGCTGTGCCTGCCGGGCTTATAGCCCCCACCAACCATCCACTATAAAGCTGTATTACCTCTTCAAAGGATTAAAAATAAAAGCTTTGCTAGCATGAACTCTGGCAATCTCTCTGGCTACCATTCTGAAGGGCTTTTTTAGTGGGCCATCACTTGAGATGGGAAAAGGAGACTCGGTGGGGAGCTGAAAAATTCATAACTATAAAAGATAGGGTAATGTGTGTGTGTGTGTGTGTGTGTGTGTGTGTGTGTATGGGGGGGGGAATCTCGGCTTTTTAAGGTTCATAGAGTCACAGAATCTTAGAGCTGGAAGGAACCTCAGAATAGAGAATACTAGAGCTGCAAAGGACCTCAGAGCACAGAATAGCAGAGCGAGAAGAGACCCTGAAAGTTGGAATATGGTATATTTGAGCTGGAAAGGACCTTAGAACATAGAATGTTCGACCTAGGAGGCACTTCAGAGATCACAGTAGCTGTATGAACTTGGAATAAGATTGATCAAGTCCTCTGAGCCTCAAATTTTTCTCACAATGGCAACGCCTGAATAGCCTACTTTTACATTGCTGTTATGAGTTATCAGATGAAATAACCTGGGCAAAGCATGGAAGGGATTCTTAACCCATGGAATCCTAGGGATTTTTAGGTAGATTTTGGGGGGAAGGGAAGGTCTATTAATTTGTATGAGAAAAATATATATTGTAATTATTTAGTCATTTTTTTTCAGTTGCGTCTGACTCTGTGATCCCATTTGGGGTTTTCTTGGCAAAAATACTGGAGTTGTTTATCATTTCCTTCTCTAGCTCATTTTACAGATGACAAAACTGTAAAACAAAAATAGCGCTAAGTGACTTTCCCAGGGTCACACAGCCAGTAAGTGTTTGAGGCTGAATTTTAACTCACGAAGATGAGTCTTCTTGACTCCAGTACCAAAGTTCTAACCACTGTGCAACTTAGCTACCCCAAAATAAATACAAAATAAATAGTAACACAAATGAAACAAAATACCTAGAATTACAAAGGAGGCAAATTATTTTGAAACATGTGCACATGACATATATAATTCAAATCAATTATTTTGAAATTTTGTTTAATGCATATAAAAACATTCCAAAAAGGGGTCCACAGTCTTCATCAGACTGTCACAGGGGTCCATGACACAAAAAAAGGTTAAGAACCCCTGATCTAGACCAACCCTCTCATTGTGTAGGTAATAAAATCATGGTTTAAGGTCATGTAGTTAATGGTAGAGCTGTAAGGGGAACCTAAGTCTTCAGATCATCCTTCTCCTATTAGACTTAGGGAATTAATCAGAGTACAGAAGGACTTTGTGGCATCCACCGCAAACTTGATTATCTACTTCTTCCATTTCTGGGGCAAGTTCCAGAAGCTCTAGACCTCTTCTGGGCCTACAAATAAACAATGATGGTCCTAGTCTGTGACCCTGCTTGACAACTTTGCATTTTAAGAAAAAATGAGTCCTCTCTCCCCTGCTATGAAGCTACCTTTTTATCTATAACTAATACAGCCCTACCCTGACCTGCAGATCCAAGAGTTTGGGCTATTTTGGAGGAGCATTAATCTTGCATAGCTTCATGGCCAAATGCCAACAAGCTATCAATCTTAATCCAGACAGTGGCCAGAGTGAATAAAATACATCATCTGAACTAATAGGATGTCAAATACATTCCCAGGTACCATAAATCGCAACTGAGTTTAAAATTGTGATGACCAATTCAACACCTCCAAAAAGGCAATTTGTATCCTAGGGATCTTTTCATCTTCAGGTGCTACAGTTTCAGCAACAGAGGTGAAATTTAAGGAGTTGAAATGATTATATTTTATAATGTAATGACTCCATGTTTGTGAGAAATGTCAAAAAAAAAGTTGTAGAAAGTTGGGCAAACACTCATATATAGGACCCCAAAAAAAGGCTGCTCATGGTGTGTGCTCTCATGTACATTGCAGTGTTAAATCTTCATGGGATTTAGTCAATTGGCATCAAGCTAACAAGTAGAATGACTACTTAGCGGGGATGTATAGAGAGGAGTCCAGCACTGGGTGAGTGGTTGAGCTAGATGACCTTTAAGGTCCCTTCCAATACTAAGATTCTAGGATTTCAATATTTTAAGTTTGTCTGATTCTAAGAGTCAGAGTACATAAATCTATGATGAGACATGCTCTATTTGATACCAGGTTGTTTAGATTAAGGGTGACAACACTGAGCCTACCCCTAGAAGTCAAAGGAATGGCAACTCAGAAAAGCAAGGATTCTCTCTCAGATTATAATCGAGGACATGCAACGTCCATGTTTCAGACTTAAGCCAACGTCCTTCCCTTTAGTCTACAAAAGCCACTTAGCTCTCCTTACCTTCCTATTCTCCTTTCGGGCTACCCCCTTTTCCCAACATACATACACCCAGAAGAAGTGTTTGTATTCTAGTCCACTCCTAAGTATCAATGATTATTGTTTTCCTTAAAGAAAGCTGGCAACAGACCAAATTAGTACTGCGTGAGCTATTGGGAAAACTTGCTTGCAGCTCACCACATCCTAGGGAAAATGTGCTACAGCCATTTTGGTTCATTTAAATCTTAGTCACAGGAAGAAAGTATCAGGCTTCTTATGGAAGACTCAGATGCAGGTCCAACATACCTATCAGCCCACAAACCATATTGCCACCCAGTCAAGTTTCACTAGCTCATCCCACACATTCCAATTTCATAATTATGAGGCATCAGATGGCCAAGGACAGCAGCAGCTTGAAAAAGGACCTTACTGATGCTTGGATCATAATTTCAAGTTTTGCTTAAATCCCTACTTTCCCAAACTCTGATGCATGTTGGACATGGGCTCTTGTATCTCTGCTAAACTAACTTGTGTGGCTACCTACTCTTAGGGCATAAAGGGAAGGTTTCATATTGCAAGCCTGGAAGATTAGGAAGAAACCATGGTAGCATGGAGAGACCAATGAATTTGGAGTTAAGAAAACTTGGGTTTGAGATCTGCTTCTGCCATTTACTAGGCTGAGTTTCCTTGGGCAAATCTTATTACCTATCTGGGCGTCAGTTTCCTTTCTCGTAAAACGGTTATAAAAATATGTCCTCTACCAATCTCACAGGGTTCTTATGAAGATCAAGTGAATCATGTATACAAATTACTCTGTATATGATAAAGCACTATATAAATATAAGCTGCTATTAAACTTGTACTAGTAGGCACCCCCAAATATTCTCTTTACTGTGATACCAGAGCATGCAACGTCCACTTGGTAACCCTCTACTCCTTTACCTTGCAACTATAGGAAGAAAAGTGGGTTTCAAAAGGCCAGCAATTAAGGGAAAGCAGGTAAAAGTACAAAACAAACTTACCTAGAGCATCCTAGCTTTATTTTACCTTAAGATATCCTCTCTGTGTGGCCCTGAAATAACTGGTGCCTGGGTACTTGACTTGGCTAGCTCCAGTTCCCCAATTACTAGAAGCAGGTCGTGCCTCCACACGGTTGCAAGCCGCCATCTTGACTCTCTAACTGTTGTCTCAACTAAACCACTAATAGTAATAATAATAATATGATAATGATAATAGTAACTGAATATGATACAGTATTTGAAGGTTTATAAAGTGCTTTTCATGTTATCATATTTGATCCCACAAGAACCCCGAGAGATAGAATTATTATTACTATTTTATTTTATTACTCTATTATCATTCCCATTTTTACAGAGAAGGAAATTGAGGCTGAAAGAGACTTACTGACTTGTCTAGGATCACAGAGCTAGTAAGTAGGTAAGGCAGTATCTTAAGTCTGATTTTAAGTCCAATGCTCAAACCATCATGTAACTGCTTAACTGTCCTTTATCCCAGGACCCTAACACCATGACTCACTCTTTCCACATATTTCAGGGGCTTTTGGAAGCCTTTACAAGCAAGTCTTCACCCCCTTCTCCAGAATGACTGGTAGTTCCCTCCTACCCCAAGGAATGACAAGCATCCCTCTCCCACATTAGGGAAAATTCAGAGGTTTAATACCACACAGCTGATATACAATCATACTCCTACATACAAATTCTATTCTCAAGGTAAGGGATTTCCTCCATAAAGTTTGTAGAGACTAGGGACTGTTTCTGGTTAACTTGCTTGATATATGTTCTTGCACAGCTTAGCCATAGCCCTTAGTAAATGTGGGGGACATGACAGTTCAGTCACTGGAGGGTTGCCTTCCGCTGCTACTAGCCTTACCTCAGGAGCAATGTAGTCTGGAGTGCCACAGAATGTCTTGGTGGTCACTCCATCCCAGATGTTCTCCTTGCACATGCCAAAGTCAGCAATCTTGATGTGGCCTTCAGAATCCAACATTACGTTGTCGAGTTTTAGATCTCTGCAACAGAAATACAAAATTGGATTTGTATTCAATCTTTCAGTGGTAATATGGTTTCATCAATGTGAGCATTCCCTTCATTGGTACAGAATGTTTTGTTGTTGTCGTTGTTTGTTTTTAATTTGGTTTTACTTTGTCTTCAAAAGAATTTTAAGGATTTCCACTATGTTCTAAGAAAAACCTCCATTTGGGAAGAAGATATGTAGAGGAAAAACTTATTAATGGTCATCATATCTTAGCATTAGGGATAGAAGTGATATTAGACATCACCTAGTCTAATCTTATTTTAAAGTTCAGGAAACTGAGGCCAAGAGAGATTAATTGACTTGTCTGGGATCTAGACAAGTGGTAAGGGGCAGAGCTGGGACTTCAACCCAGGTCCCTCGACTCCAAATCCAATGCTCCTTCCATTACACCAAGGTAAACATTTATACAAATTGAACCTTATTAGTCTCCTCTCCTGGGCACAACAATATACTCTGACTGCTATGTTAAAGAGGAAAACCTCTACAATCTACTCTTGTCCTAGAGGAAGCTAACTTTTCCTGGCCCTAGGGAGAATAACTCTAAATGAATTTGTGACACTCTAAATGGCAACAAGCAGGGCTACAGAATTGAGGGCATGACTTGGAAAACCAGTCATATCATTTCACAACATTGCTATCATGGCTCCCTTAAAATTATTTTTATTTTGTTTTTTTTTTTTAAGATACACAGATATATACTCATATGTATATTTTCATACATACACAAACACATACATACACACAGAGCTAGGTAGCGTAGTAGATGGAGTACTGGGCCCTGGATAAGTCACTTAACTCTTTTTGCCTCAGTTTCCTCATCTGTAAAATGAGCTAGAGAAGAAAATAGTAAACCACTCCAGTATCTTTGCCAAAAAAACCCCAAAAAGGGTCACAGAGAGTTGGACATGACTGAAAAAAATGAATAACAAATAAACATATGTGTGTATACTCTTCCCATAACCTCAAGTCTTCCCTTTTAATAAAGAAAAAACAGTAAAGCAAATTTAGATAACAGAGGGTTCATGTCCAACAGCATATATAATGTACCATGTCCCATAGCTTGTCATCACTCCAGTGAAAGGAGGAAGATATATTTTCTCATCACTTCTGCAGGACCAAGTTAGGCCACTAAATTTCATGATATTTGGTTTTATTTTTATTATTCTTTTCATTTGCATTATTGTAATAACTCCATTTTATAATCCTTTATGGTCTGTAAAGAACTTTCTTTGCAATGACCCTGTAAGCTAGGTCATAACAACTTTAATATACCTTATAATAAGACAAGGATTATGCCAGAATCAAAGCCTAAATGGTCTCCATCTTCTCTTACTCTTGGGCTCTTTTACTAATTGTCATTTTTTAAAAACTACTCAGGAACTCCAAATTGAAAAAGTGATACTACTTGGAAATTTTAGTTATGAATTATAATCAGAAAGGCCATCGCTATGTGATTAGTCCACTCATCCCCTGAAATCAAAGGTAATATCTGCATGTTTTTATTTACCATAGGAAAGTCATGTTGATTCTTGAAGAATTTTCTTTATGCCTCTATTTACCCCAATATAGACACAAGAGTAGCAAAGCCTACCTGGGGCTATGCGATACTCTAAAACCCCTCTGACTTCAAGGTACTTGCTGTAAGAATCACATCAGTAATCAGCCCTGATATACTTGAGTTTGTAGTCAGATATGGATGGCAGCCATGCTATGTATCTTGAGCCCGTGTGTTTGGTGCTCAGCACATCAAGGCCCAAGGTCTCAGAATAATGAGTACACAAGTGGCTAGAGAATCAGAGCTTTCTCATTCTGCTTAAAATCCTTATCTTCAATCTCTGGCATCAGTGTTCTGTAACTTCTGACTGCCAGGGTCCCATAGTTTTTGACATAGGAATGGCTGAGGGAGAAGAAAAGGGCTTAAAAGATGTTTCCAAGGACAAGGCTTGGAATGATCTTCTAATATAGAATCATCATGACCCCAACACTTCAGCATTCATTTGTGCCTAACACCTTGGGAGTTTTGTAGCATAGTATGAGCAAATAAGATTTTCCCAAAAACACAAAACACACAGGATAACTGAGTCATATCCTGGGTGTTGATCTATCCAGGATCAATAAGCCACTAAAGTCATACTGCTCTCATGCATAGAGGTTTCACCTGCCTCTTTCTTTTCCCTCCTTCATGGATAGCCATGTGTTAGCAACAGTAGAATGGGTCAACCTCTAATACCTTACCAGGAAGAGTAATTCTGCTTGTTTTTATCTTCTGCCTGCAGACAGGATAATCTGCATAGTAGGAGATAACAGTGGTGCAGTGCTAAAGGCTACTCCTAGTCAGTCGATAAAAATCTATTAGGTGCCTACTACGTGCCAGGCACTATGCTAAGTGCTGCAGTAATACCCAGAGATCCTGCTTGCAGGTCCCACATCTCAGTTGCTTCGGTTTCCTTTCTAGGAACACTGAGTGGTTAAACTCATCTTTCCTTCCCTTTGCTACTTTCCTCCTCCTCTTCTAATATCTAGTTGCCTTTGAGAGTTAAATCTGAAGTATCTCAGTGCCCTTCCCTCTCACTTTCCAGGACAATAATTTAAATCAAAGTTCTGGCCCCTGGGGTTGTTGTTATAGAAGAGTATCAAGGTATGAACCCTAGATTCCTAAGGCTTTAGTTTCAAAAAGAACATGGTATCTTTCTCTTGTGACAAAGTTGTTATAACTTACTTCTCGAAACAGGTTTAAGTTTCTTATTGGTGACCCCCGACCCATTCTGGCCTTTTTTATTCCAAGGAAGGAGGTAAAGACTTAGAAATTCTTGAGGATAAAGTTTATTTTACTGACTCTATGGCACAGATTCACCATCAGCAAGGCCCCTTAATATTCTCTGTGACCAAGACTTCAGGCAATCTGAAAGCACTGACCAGAACACAAGACTTTGCTAAAGAGAAAACACAATGGAAATGAACTCAGAAACATAGGGAAGGCCAACTAGGCCCTTATATCTGCACAGCTCAACATGATGGCTCCATACTTGGCTCTCTCTTCCTCCCTCTTCTAAAGCCAATAAACTTTGCATTGGCAATACTATTGGACAGTTGCCAAACATTAGCAGACAAGGCCTGCTTCTTCAAGATTTTATATGCTGACTAAACCACTACAGAAAAAAGCCAGTGATTTTCTTGGGCTACTAGCTGAAGCTGCTGTCTTCCCATCCCCAAAGTTCAACTGCCTTGCCTTCCTTAATGAAATAACAAGAATCCTGATATCCTTTTTTCAGCACTAGTTCTTGATTAGCAGAAGAAAAAAGTATGAGCAGCTAGGTGGTACAGTGGATAGAGTGCCAGCCTTGGAGTCAGGAGGACCTGAGTTCAAACACTACCTCAGACACTTGTCACTTACTGGCTGTGTGACCCTGGACAAGTCACTTAACCATGATTACCTCACCAGAAGAAATAAAAAAGAAAAAAAGCATGTCAGGGGTACAATCCGCAGTCTGGAACTATGTCCACATTTATTGTTGTCCATTTTTGTTGTTGTTGTTGAGTCATTCAGTTACATCTGACTCTATATGATGCCATGGGCCATAGCACAGCTAGCCTTTCTATCTTTCGCTATATCCCAAAGTCTGTCCAAGCTCATGTTTCCATGACACTATCTACCCATTTCTTCCTCTGCTGTACCCTTTTTCCTTTTGCCTCCAATCTTTCCCAACATCAGAATCTTTTCTAATGAGTCCCATCTTCTCATTATGTGACAAAAGTATTTAAGCTTCAGCTTCAGTATTTGACCTTTCAGAAAATAGTCTGAATTAATTTCTTTAAGTATTGACTTATGTGATCTCCTTGCTGTCTAAGGGATTCTCAAAAGTCTTCCCCAGCATTACAATTCAAAAGTGATGATTCTGCAGTGCTCATCTTTCCTTATAGTCCAACTCTCATAGCTGTACATTGCTACTGGAAAAACCATAACTTTGACTACACAGACCTTTGTTGGCAAGATGATGTTTCTACTTTTTAGTATACTATCCAGATTTGCCATAGCTTTCCTTACAAGGAGCAACTGTCTTTTAATTTCATGGCTGCAGTTGCCACCTACAGTCATCTTTGAGCCCAAGAATATAAAATCTGACACTGCTTCCATTCCTTCTGTCTCTATTTGCCAGAAAGTGGTGGGGCCAGTTGCCAAAATCTTAGCTTTTTTGATGTTAAGTTTCAAGCCAGCTTTTACACTCTCTTCTTTTACCCTCATCAAGAGGCTTCTTAATTCTTCTTCTCTTTCTGTCATCAGAATAGTATCATCTGCATACCTGAGATTGTTCATATTTTTCTCAGCAACTTTATTTCCAGCTTTTGGTTCATCCAGCCTGGCCTTTCACACAATGTACTCTGCATATAAGTTAAATAAATAAGGTGACAATAGACAGGCTTGCCATATTCCTTTTCCAATTTTAAATCAATCAATTGTTCAATGTTTGGTTCTAACTGTTGCTTGTCTGTTTGAACGTAGGTTCCTCAGGAGACAAGTAAGATGATCTGGTACTCCATCTCTTTGAGGACTTGCCACATTTTGTTGTGATTCACAACAAAAGCTTCAGTGTAATCAATGAAGCAAAAGCAGATGTTTTCCTGGAACTCCTTTGCTTTCTCTATAATCTAGCAAATGTTGGCAATTTGGTCTCTAGTTCCTCTGCCTCTTAGAAAACCAGCCTGCTCATCTGGTAATTCTTGGTTCACATATTCCTGAAGCCTAGCTTGCCAAATCTTAAGCATAACCTTGCTGGTGTGTGAAATGAGCACAATTATTCAGTAATTTGAACATTCTTTGGTATTGCCCTTCTTTGGGATTGGGATGTAAACCGATATTTTCCAATCCAGTGGCCACTGTTGAGTTTTCCAAACTTGCTGGAATATTTAGTGCAACATTTTAACAGTATTTTTTTAGGATTCAAATAGCTCAGCTGAAATTCTGTCACCCCCACTAACCTAACTGTTAGCAATGCTTTGTAAAACCCACTTGACTTCATTCTCTAGGATGTCTGGTTCTAGATCTGTAAGCACACTATCATGGTTACCAGTGATATTAAGAACTTTTTTGTATAGTTCTTCTGCATATTCTTGCTACCTCTTAATTCTTCTACTTCTGTTGAGTCCCTAACTTTTTTGTCTTTTATCATGTCAATTTTGCATAAAACATTACTTTGATATCTTTAATTTTCTTGAAGAGATTCTTGTCTTTCTCAGTCTGTTGTTTTCTTCTATTTATTTGCATTGCTCATTTAAGAAAAGCTTCTTATCTCTCCTTGTTATTCTCTGGAATTCCGAATTCAGTTGGGTACATCTTTCCCTTTTGTTTTCCTTCTTTCTCCAATTATTTGTAAAGCCTCATGAGATAGCCATTTTTGCTTTCTTGCTCTTCTTTTTCTTTGAGATGTTCTTTGTTGTTGCCTCCTGGACAATATTGCAAACCTCTATCCATGGTTCTTCAGGCACTCTATCTATCAGATCTAATCCCTTAAATCTAACCATCACTTTTACTTCATATTTATAAGGGAGGTTATTTAGGTCATATCCATATGGTCTGATGGTTTTCCCCAGTTTCCTTAATTTAAGTCTGAATGTTGCAATAGGAAACTCATAATCTGAGCCACAGTCAGCTTTAATTCTTGTTTTAACTAGCTCTACAGAGTTTTTCCACTTTTGGCTTCAAAATATATGATCAATCTGATTTTTATACTGACCATCTGGTAATGTCCATGTGTAGAGTCACCTTTTGGGTGGTTAAAAAAAATGTCTTTGCTATGACCAGCGAGTTATCTTTTTTCGGTAGAGGTGTGGGGTGGGGAGGCAATCAGGGTTAAGTGATTTGCCCAGGGTCACACAGCTAGGAAGTGTCTGAGGCCAGATTTGAACTTAGGAAGATGAGTCTTCCTGACTCCAGGCCTAGCACTCTGTGCACTATGTATATGTAATGATTGCTTGAATTAAATTCAACCATTTCCATCCATTTGAGTTTACTGACACCCACGAGGTTGATGATTAACTTTTCCATCTCTTGTTTGACCGCATCCAGCTTACCTTGGTTCACAGGTTTTATATTCCAGGTTCCTTTGCAGTATTGATCTTAACAGCATTGGACTTTCCTTAGATCACCAGACATCCACAACTGAGCTTCCTTTTGGCTTTGGCCCAGCCACTTCATAGCTACTTGTAATTTTCCTCAGCTTTTCCCCAGTAGCATGTTAGATACCTTCTGACCTGAGGGGCTCATCTTCCAGCATCATATCTTCTATCATTTTAACACTGCCCATGGGATTTTCCTGGCAAAAATACTAGAGCGGTTTGCCATTTTCTTCTCCAATGGATCACCTTTTGTCAGAACTCTCTACGATGACCTGTCCATCTTGGCTAACCCTGCATGGCATAACTCCTAATTTCAATGAGCTACACAAACCCCTTTGTCATGACAAGGCAGTGATCCAGGAGGGGAGGTGTCCACTACATTTTGGATTTTAAGGAGCTTAAGGTCAATAGAAGACAAGAGGTCCTTTTCCTCCCCTGGCCTCAACAGATAAAGAAAAACTCCAAGTTCCCTTTTGATCTAGTTTGAGTGGATAATGAGAAACTTTTATCTTAAGAGGTAGAGGGGATGAGATGTTTTTGTGATAAAGGAGGCAATTAAGGGGGAAATATGTTTGTTACATTATTAGAGTTTATTGAATTGTGTGTTATAAGTTTTAGGGGTAGGCATCTGCTCCCAAATAGTTGGCTAGTGGTACATGGTCACTGAGAGGGGGAGGACCAAATCTTGGCCTCCTCATATTGGTACAGTAGACTCTAATGCTTACTTTAAAACATAATTATCCTAATTTCATTTACTGTAATGCCATTGGGCAATTGCGGCTGTTTCCCACATGTGCCTGGGAGCCATCCACAGCAGAAAGTCATTTAGTAATGAAACTGAGGTGAGCTTAGCCAGCACGCTCATTCAATCAAGAAGCATTTATTAATCACCTACTGTATGACAAACATTTCAGTCAGTTGAACTGGAAACAGATCTTTTTGGCCAAATAGGTTTAGGCACCTGGGTTTATCAAACTCTTGCTTGGCTTTTTTTTTTTTAAACCTGCTTTGCTCCTTGGATCTCAATGATGCACTGCTCACCTATACTTTACTCAAAAGCTCATATCCTGCTTCTGTTCCATGTCTATTGGTTCTGATAAGAGGCCTTGCTTTCTCTATGACCTTTGGGGTCTCTCAATTACCTCCTTAACAACAATATCATCCTGGTGGATGACCTCTGCCCAGGTGAGACCACTAGCCTTGGCCACATAGGTCATTCAGGTGTAGCTCCTGACTCAGTCTACCAGCGGTCTCACCTTGGGGGGGGGGACACCACAAGCCCTCTGTTCAGGGACCTTCTTTATCCTCATCATCAGTAAGATATCAAAACATCAGCTATGAACAGAAAATTGGTTTTTGAGGTGTGCTCGAAAGCCCCTAGCTTAATACTCCATTTCATAGGGAAAGAAAACATGAAGCTAAATCTCTCTGTAGAGGCCACTGATGAAAATCTCTTCTTGGATCCACATTCCAGAGAGATGGTTGTTCCATAAAATACAATCAAAGCTGCGGATGCAGTGATCTTTGTATCAGAGAGTTAATGGTGTCCAACATACCCTGTGAATATGTGGCTCCACAGTGAACTTTGCAGCCAGTGTGGCATGAAGAGAATGATACAGATGGGTCTTTGTGATGAAAGAACAACTTTAGTTTCTGTGATCTTCTTAGCTAGACATCTACACAATCCAGATAAGCCATGTAACAAATCAAAGGGATAGGATCAAGTTTTATCTCCCTTTTCATCCAGACCTAAGGCTTAAGTTTATCCTAAAATGTCAACTGGGGGAGTGGTGGGAGGTCAAAAGCATTTATATAGCACCTACTATATGCCAGGCACTGTGTTAAGGACTTTAAAAGTATTATCTCATTTCAATAGACATTTGTTGAGCACCTACTGAATTTTTTGTTCCAGCTACTGGGGATACAATGACAGTTCCTGCCTTCAGGGAGCTTAAACTCTAAGGAAGAAGGGTGATGATGGAAACATGTAGACAAACTAAATCATAAAGGAAAATGTGATAAGGGCAATGAAGAAGTCTGGGCAATGCATGACGGGAAATGAGAGAAGAGAGTTATCACATTCAATTGGGAGGCCAGGGGCATCTTCATGAGGAGGATGGCACCTATGTTAGGCTCTGAAGGATGGAAGGGAGTATGACAGACAGAGACATAGTAGTGTCCATTCCAGCAACAGGAGTTAATGTAAACTAAGTTACAAAGAGAGCAGAGGGTAGGATGAGAATTGGGAAAAGAGACAAATCCAGTCTGGCTGAACTATAGAATATGTGAAAGGGATATTGGGAGTTTATATTTTACTTGGCAGTCAGTAAGGGAACCATGGAAGGCTTTTAAGTAGGGAATTTCGGGATTCAAAACATTTATTTCTAAATTAATAGTTAGGATATGATAAAGCTGTCACACCCAAATGACAGCTAAACTGTTTTTCTTCCTGTAGAAACATACCATTTATGGGTAGGAGAAATCAACGTTCCATTTGTGAGGTCCGAGCTCTATAACACAGAGCAAAGGATGAAATACATTCTCACTTAGCCCTGCCCCTTTCCACAGTAAAGAGCCACCAGGTGCATTTAATGTCCATGTCACCAGTTTCCCAGGGCTAGATAGAGCCCCAGTGTGGTCCCAACTTGAATCAACTACAATTCAAGGGGTCCCTAGGATTTCTGCTTGTCCAAAATTCCAATTTGGAGGTAGTTTTTTTGGGGGGGGGAATGAACGAGGCACAGGAAAGAAAGGAGGAGAGGAAGAAGGGAGGAGGGAAGGAATAAAGTGCTCACCCACCGATAAATGATGCCTTTGCTTTGTAAGAAGAAAAGACCGATAGCAATTTCTGCGGCATAGAATCTGAAATACAAAAAGAAATCAACAGAATAGGCCCGTTAAAGCAAATATGTTAAAGTTGAATGCTTTCTAAATCTCATTACACAAAATTCAATTAACTGGATACAAGGTACTAAAATCCCGCCAGCCACACAGCATGCAAACATGTATTTATACAGGTAACTTTTAATAGCACTAACAGCACCGAATAATAAGCAAAGTAATGGCTGCCAACTACAGTGTGAGAACATATCTGTTCCTTTTAAAACATATGGCTTTGAGGGACCAGCTGGCTGAAAGAACCGGTTTGAGAATCAGATCTCCCAGGCAGAGGTCTGATTCCAAACTGTGTCACCAGGGACACCAGCAGTCCTGAGAAACCTATGTGACATCCACCACAAAGCTCGGTCTGTTATCTAGCAGATAGAGGCCAACGGCTCATCTGGGAGAATGTGGATCAGAGAAACCACATAAAGGAAGAATCGGCATAAGAGGGTTTCTGTGACTAGCACTGATGTTGGGATAATGGAACACTTATTGACTACTGTAGCACCAGAAGGTTCCGGTGAGTAACTATGGTTTCTGAGAGAGAGAAAGAAATGATTAAAGGCCCTAAATGTGCTTACTTTCTTTTTGCTTATCTTGCAAGGAAAAAAAAAAGAGTAAGGCTCTCACTTAGTGATAAATAATGCTTCTGCTTTGTAAGAAGGATGGACTAGTGACAATTTCTGCATGGTGTATACATTCTTCACACAGAAGTACGTATGATCCAGGTTTCTATCTTCTCCCATTTTCGCTTCTTGCTCCGATCTGTTACTTACTCATAAAACACAAGACTAACACTAATTCAGAATTTTCCTTTCTCATATTGTCATTGTTGGGAAAGTAAAGAAAAAGGTCTAACGAGGTCAGTACCAGTTGTTAGACCCGAGATGTAGGGCATGGCAAAACAAAGCAGAAATGGTGTTAGCCTAATCACCTCCCCTCCCCCAATCCCATACATACCACCAGGTTCCAAGCTGATCAGGAATGGTGACCCTCATTCTCATCGAATACCACTTATGTGGGTCTAAACTAGTTCCTAATCTTTTCTACTCAACCAATGTTATAGACTCCTATATCATAGTAATTGAATATATTGTGTTGGAGCTAAATAAAAATGGAGGCATCTAGGCAGTGGAGTGGATAGTGTGCAGGGCTTGGAGTCAGGAACACCTGAATTCAAATTTGACATCAGACACTTACTAGCTGTGTGATACTGGGCAAATCACTGGCCCTCTGTTTGCCTCAGTTTCCCCATCTGTAAAACGGGGATAATAATACCATCTTTCTCCCAGAGTTGCTGCGAGGGTAAAATTAGATACCATTTGTAAAATGCTTTGCAAACTTTTTAAAGCACTATACAAATGCCAGCGATTATTAAAGTAGAAATGAAAGTGCTTGGTAAACATATGGTTTTGTAGACATTTAGCAATAAGTTATTTCCACTTCCTTCTCCCCCTCCCTCACCACCACTACCACCAAGGGTCCTGGGAACCATTGGTTGGGAACTGCTACTCTCAACTGTCTTTTTTGTTTTGTTTTTGTTTTTTTTTTCTATCCATCTCCACTTCATCTGACCCACAATTTGCTTTTGTGTGGATAAAACATCCAGTTATTGAGCTGTGTCTGCCCAGTCCTGGGTTTAATTGTTTTCTGAGGTTATATTGAGCCCATTTTCACTGGACTAGATGAAGCCTCTCCAAGAAGGTTATTTCCTCAAAGAGTAGAATACAATTAGGTCCTTTAGATAAAACTGTAGTTACTCATCCATATCTTCTCGAGCTAATCTAGTTAATGAGTGTTCTATAACCCCATACAATCAACATAAGTGACAAAATTTCAGATTCTCAAACTGCGTTCTCTCTCACACTGTCTACTTCCTCTGCACTTTCACAGTCACTGATGACCTGTATAATCTACAAATAGAGCACCCCACCTGTTCTAGGGCAACTTGATGTCATCTAGCCCAATTGCCTGGCTAATAATCCTAGTAAAGAGGCAAAGAACAGAATGCCACCTCCAAAAGACATTGTCACAGAGAAAGGTCAAAATATTGAAAATGTCTTCAGTTAGGGATGTAGGTAGAATACTATAAGCAAGAAGAATGATGAGGACTGAGACTAAGATTTCTACAAATACTACCGTGCTTTTCTAGTAGCTGATCACATAAAAGTTCCAGCTAGGTGGCACAGTGTTAGACTTGGAGACAGGAAGATCTGAGTTCAAATCCCATTTCAGACACTTATTAGCTATGTGACCCTGGGCAAGTCACGTATCCCTTTTCAGCCTTAGTCTTCCCACTGTAAATGAGGATCTTAATAAAATCTTCCCCACAGGGTTGTTATAAGGGTCAAGTGAGAACATTTATGCAAAGCATTTTGCAACACTTAAGGTACTATAAAGGAACTCAGAGGTCATCTAACACCATCCCTACCTGAAATATGAATGCCTTCTACAGTGTCCCAAAATGTAGTCAACTTCTCTTTGCTTGAACTTTCTCAGGGAATGATGAGCTCACGCCCTGCTAAGGCAGCTCATTTAATTTCTGGATCACTCTGATTGCTAGGAGGTTGTTTCTTATATTGAGTTGAAAGCAAATGCTTTGATATTCAGGGCTTTCCATTCTGTACTTTCTTTAAAGCCTGATTCAGCTTTTAAAAATAATTCAATATATTTGAAACTCATGTGAAATGCATAATAAAACACAGATATAATTCATCACATAAAAAATAAATATCATAAAAATAAAAGTTGACACTCACATAACACTTTATAGTGTATAAGGCATTTTGCTCACAAAAAACCAAGTGTAAGCGCAATTTATGTGTTTTGCACATGGCCATATGCTTAGTAAGGGACAAAGGCCAGCCTCAAGCCCAAGCTGTCTAAGCCCAGTAATTCTGATTAAGCCAACTTCCTGGGCTACCTCAGTAGGTCGTGAGTTCATCATTCCTGAAAAGTTTCAAGCAGAGGGAAAGGAAGACAAAGGAATAAAATTTTATTATGCATCTACTATGTGCTGGGCACTGTGCTAAGTGCTTTACAAATATTATCTCATTTGATCCTTACCATAACCCTGTGCTATTAATGACCACTTTACAACTGAGGAAACTGAGGCAGACAGAGGTTAAGTGACTTGCACAGGATCATACAGCTAGTTGAACTCACTTCTTCCCAACTCCAGACCCAGCACTCTATCCACTTTATCACCTAGCTGCCTCTGAGGCAGTTAAACTACATTTTAAGGATATTGTAGAGGGTATTCATGCTTCAGGTCAGAGGGGGGGTCTTAGATGACCTCTGATCTCCTTTCCAACTCTAAGATTCTAAGATTTTATGTACCAGTCATGGGAAAAGCATAGCAGTGTCTGAGAAAATGGCACAGTCCAACCCCTTTCATAGATAGCTATCATTAAAAGCCACAAGAGACAGAGGAAGGATGATACCACTCAGGCCTATCTCTCATTCTGGTGGATTCAGAAAGTGGGGATGAAAGGCTCACATGACCCTACTTAATTCATTTAAGCATCCAGGTGGCATAATGGGTAGAGTGTTGGACTTAGAGGCTGGAAAACTTGACTTCAAATGCTGCCTCAGACACTAGCTGTGTGACTCCAGGCAAGTCACTGGACCTCTGAGACCCAGTTTCTTCATCTATAAAATTGGAATAATAATAGCACCTACCTAACAGAGTTATTTTGAGGATCAAATGAGGAGGGCCAAATGAGGATCACATAATAATAGCTAGTAATTTTTGTTTTTTATATAGCTAGTAATTTTGATTAAATGATCAAATATGTACAGTTTTGCTAACCTTAAAGTACTTGATAAATGCTAGTTATTGATTTAGAGGCAGCATTTTAACTAACAGCAAGGGCTTCAGTCCTCTTCATTTGAAAAAAAGAACAATGCAGGAGCCTTTAGGATATGGAATGAGAAAAGTCTGGGTGCCCTCATCTTCCCTAATGACATTTCACTTATCATGCCCTTGGCAACGTCTCTGCACTAAACAGTCCATATCAGAAAAACCATCTAAGAAAACCGTAGGCCAACTTCCAAACCATAAGTGAATCCAGCACGCCACTCAGGAATAGTGTGCCAGATGTTAAATATTCATCAGAACCCATAGAGTTAAGTCACCACCACTGGACTGCAACAGACTGGAAAAAAAGCCTAATTTGAAATATATGTCAGAGTAGAAAAGCAATACCCACAACTGCTGGTGGGAGTTTATGTTCTCAAGCATGGAGCTCAGACCATGGATAGTCTGCTAAGCTGGTCTAGGAGAATCACAGAATAATAGACTGGTAGACCTAAAAGGGACCTTTGAGATCACTTGCCCCATCTTACAGATGAGGACAACTAAGGCTCAGAGCAGAGAAATGACTTATCCAAGGTTACACAATTAATTTGAAGCTGAGCTAAGACTAGAACTCTAGTCATATGGCTTTGGTATACTCTCCCTGGAAAGAAAATATATTCCAGGAGTAGTAAAACCTCTGGGGTACAATTCAAGAAAAGAAAGAGGCATATATAGTCTTTATCTTCATTACCTCTGTGCTCAAACATGCCCAGAACAAAGCACCTAGAACATGTCTGTTAATCTGGGAATGAGAAAAATATGTAGCCCCAAAAAGTAGCACTTAGAACAATGAGTAGGAGTTGTAAAAAAATTTACCTATGAAGTCAGAAAAAACTTCCTAACAATTTGAACCATCCACAAATAGAGTGGGCTGCTTTAGGAAAGAGTGAGTTCCCTGTCTCTGTGGGTAGTCAAGCAGAGGCTGAATGATGACTTGATGAGAATACTGTAGAAAAGGGTTTTTGTTTAAGACCAGGTTGGATCAGATGGCCTCAGCCGTCTCCTCCAGTTCTTAGATTTTTTATAACACTTTCTTCACAGAATCTTACAGTTGGAAGGAATCCCTGAGGTCATCTATTCCATCCCCTACCCACATAGCATCTGTAGCTCTGGAATTAGGGGAGAGAGCATTTTAACCTCTAAGGAAAATGCCCTTCTTCTCTGATATGGCAAGGGACTCTGCCTGTGATTTCTATTTGGTGTAATTTATGCTGAAATCTGTTATATATTAGTTATTGGAGCTAAATCTTTAGCCTTAGTTGTTAATGGTAATGCAAAAAAATGCAGTTTCTGCTTCTGCTCTGACCCCTGACTTCCTCCTCTCCCATCCCCTACAACATATCCAAGGAGAGAGGCGTTGGCTCTGGAAACAAGAGACAAAAGGGGAATTCAAGGTTGAAGTGGGAGACCAAGAATAGCTAGGGAAAGAGAAATATTATTGAGTAAAGTAGAAGCTTGAAATCAGCTGATGAATTAGCAAGTAGACAATAACAACAACAATAGTGGACATTTATACAGCACTTACTATGTGCTAAACGTTTTACAATTATTATCTTATTTGATCCTCACAACAACCCTGAAAGGCAGGCACTATTATTATCCCCATTTTACAGATGAGAAAACATAGTGGATAGAGTGCCAGGCCTGGCGTCAGGAGAACTCATCTTCTTGAGTTCGAATATTGCCTCTGACATTTGCTAGCTGTGTGACCCTGGGCAAGTCATTTAACCTCAGTTTCCTCATCTGTAAAATAAACTGGAGGAGGAAATGGCAAACTGCTCTAGCATCTTTGCCAAGAAAAACCCAAGTGGGGTCACAAAGAGTCTGACATGACTAAAATGACCGAACAATAAATAGGGGTTAGGTGACTGGCCCATGGTCACACAGTTAGTAAGTGTCTGAGGTCATATATGAACTCAAGTCTTCCTGACACCAGACCCGGTGCTCTATTCATTGTGCCAAGATGCTGTGATAAACAATGACAATGATCAACAGGATAGTTCAGCCATCATATGCTAGGGTACAGGGAAAGTAGAAGCTTGGGAAAGGAAGAAAATACAGGCCTCGGAGATTGAAAGGTAATTTAACCAACCCATGGCCAAAATAAGCCTCTTTCTTACAACATCCCTGACAGGTGGTCATTTATCTACCTTCTCTTCAATGCAGAACTCACTGACACTTGAGGCAGCCCAGCCCATTCCACTTTTGGACAGCTCTTAATTGTTAGGAAATTTTTCCCTTACATCTATCTTCCTGTAACATCTGTCCATTCCTCTAAATTCAGCTCCCTCTAGCCAGGCAGAACAAGGCTAATCCCTCTTTCACATGACATCCCTTCAAATATTTGAAGACAGTGATACAAGTGGAAATGGAGAACGTGGGTTAGAACAAGTCGGATGTAGGAAAATGAACAGAAGCAGACAAGGCTGAAGGCTCTAAGTGGAAAGAAATCTCCTAACCTGGCCACATTTGGTATTTGAATATACAATTCAATACTTAGAGGGATGGATGGTAGGGCAGGGTAAAGCCAGTGTTCTTTGATCACTCCTTGTGAATGGGCTAAGAGTATACTGAAAATAACTAAACAGGAATCAGGAGATAAAGGAGTTAAAAAAATAAAGTATGTTCCTTTAACCCCAAATTCCTAGAAAATAGAGAGTTTGCTAGTCTCTCCTATTGTTTTTAATCCATTCTGCCCATAATCCCTTCCCTGAATCATAGAAGATCAAAGTTAGAGGGGATACGAGAGGATATATTGTACAATTCAGATTCGAGCAGGAATCCCTACTATAAAATCCCTGGAAATTTCACATCAAGCCTTTGCTTCAATACCTCTAGTAAAGGGGAACCCATGATTTCCCGTGGGAACTCATTGTACTCTTGAGGGAGCTAGGTAGCATTATAAATAGAATGCTGGGTTTGGAATCAGGAAAACCTAAATTCCAGCCCTATCTCAGATTCATACTCGCTGTGTTATGCCAAGTCACTTAACTCCTCTGTCTTAGTTTTTTAAACCAATCAATAAACATTTAATAAGTCCCTACTATGTGCCAGGACAGCCAGGTGGCATAGTGGATAGATAGAATTTGGTTCAGGGATCAGGAAGATGTCTTCCTGAGTTCAAATCTAACCTCAGACACTAGCTGTGTGATCCTGGGCAAGTTACTTAACTCTGTTTCCCTCAGTTTCCTCATCTGTAAAATGAGCTGGAGAAGGAAATGACAAACTTAGCCAGTACCTCTGCCCAGAAAACCCCAAATGGGGTCATGAAAAGTTGGACATGATTGAAATGTTTGAAACAACAAAAACAACAACTACTATATGTCAGGCACTGTGCTAAGTTCTAGAGATACAAAGAAAAGGGCAAAAGACAGTCCCTGCACTCAAGGAGATTACAATCTAATGGGGTAGACACAATGCAAACCAAATATACAAAAAACAAGCTACATATAGGATAAGTAGGAAATAATTAAAGAAAGGGAAGGCAATAAGGAGGTTAGATTCAATGTTCTCTAAGGCCCCTTCTGGCTCTAAATATATGATCCTACGAGCTCCATTTTTTCAAGTCTTACTATATCAAACCAAATCTTCCTTTCTGCAGCTTCCACTTTTCTCTCCAATTCTGCCTTCCTCATCTGAGTAGAGCTAGTATAATCTTCTTCCATGTGACAAGCCTTTTAAATATTCAGCTATCATGCTCACACCCATGTCTTGTCTTTTCCAGACTAAACCTCTCTAGTTCCTTCAAATGAATATCTTATGGTCCCTTCACCATCCTGGTCACCTGGAGAAATGCCAAATTGTCACTTGATTTCTTAATATGTAACACCCACAATTAAATGCGGTCTGATCAAGGCAGAAACCAATGGGACTATCATTTGGGACACTAATCCTCTCTTAACAAAGCCTAAGATCAAATAATCATTTTTGGTTGGCATTGTTTATTGCACTAACTAGTGGACTGCATCCCCTAACACCCTTGGGTTTTTTCCCCATACAAGCTATTGTTTAGTAACCCCTCCCCCATTCTATATTTAGGAAGCTCATTCCTTGAACCCAAATGCAATATTTTACATTTATCCTTATAAATTTCATCTTACCAGATTCATCACATCATTATGTCCAGTGCCCACCCTCTTAAATCCAAGAGAGAAGACTGATCATGGTGGAAACTTACACAGCATGAGGCTCCTTAAATCGTCCAACCTGCTGGATCTGGTACATGAGATCTCCACCATTCACATATTCCATCACAAAATACAGGCGATCCTGGCAAAATAATGGAAGAAACAGAAAAATTAGTGCTCTAGGGATCTTTAGCTTTGAGTGAGAAAAAGGGAAACATTCAAACCTTTGTTTTTATTTTTTGTTTTGTTGTTGGTGGTTTAGCAAGGCAATTGGGGTTAAGTGACTTGCTCAGGGTCACATAGCTAGTAAGTGTCAAGTGTCTAAGACCAGATTTTAACTCAGGTCCTCCTAATTCCAGGTGTAGTACTCTATCCATTGTGCCACCCAGCTGCTCCAAACCTCTGTTTTATAGTAACCAAGAAATATTGTGTTCTGGGCAGCTAGGTGGTGCAGTGGATAGAACACTGCACCTGGAATCAGGAAGACTCGTCTTCCTGACTTCAAATCCAGTCTTAGACACTTACTTAGACACTTGGGCATGTCATTTAACCTCAGCTCCTCATTTGTAAAAATGAGCTGGAGAAGGAAATGGGAAACCATTCCAGTATCTTTGCTAAGAAAATCTCAAAATGTAATCATGGAGAGTCAGACACAACTGAAATGACTCAACAACAACAATAACACCATGGGTGTCTATGGCCTAGCATATTAAATAAAAATGATAGAAAAGATGTCCTATCAAAGGTAGAATGTAGGATGAGTGTTTAAAATAGCTAAAGATTCCAAGAAGCAGAGTAAAGAAAGGGTGCGTTCTAGGCTTGGTAGCCAGGCTATACAAAGGCAGGGAGGTAGGAGATGTTATACTGAATTTGGACAACAGCTAGTGGTTTAATATGGATAGATAATGGCATGAGTAAAGAGGTTCAATGGAAAATACTGTTGGAAGGGTAGGGTAGGCTGGCTCCATATTCTTAAAGGTTTGAAGTACCAAGCTGAGGAGTTTATATTTTACTGTAGAGACAGTGGCAGCTACTGAAACTTTTTGAGCAGATACATAGTCTCTTTATAAATATTATTTTAAGAGGACTGTGGAAGATAGGTTGGAGAGGAGAGAGACTGTCTATAGAGAAGCTAATTAGACTATTATAATAGTTCACGTGAGAAGCAATGAGCATCGATACTAGGTCAGTCACCATGAAAGGGGAGAGAAGGAGACAGATGCAGAGGATGTCTTATCTAGTCCTAAATTCACCTATAGTTCCTTAACTATGCCCCCTAAATTTGCAGCACCTCCCAGAACTTACTTCTTGTTCCTGATTCTAGGATTTTGTCCAGTTGTATTTCTCAAATGGGAAATGCTACAAGGAGAGTACACTTTTGTGTTTTCTAGTCCTGAAAAAGCCTATTTGGGAAGTAGCCAGGGCATAGCAGGAAGAAGCTTATCCAGAAAGAAAAGGCACATTGGACAGTTCAATGTCTTTTTGGCAACACAATTTTCAAAACTGGAAAAAAGTATAACTGAGGAAACTAATGAGCCCAATTTAAAGGGCCAGTGGCAATAACAACTTACATTCAGGAAGGGTTTTGAATTCCTGGAGAACTTTCCACACAGCCAATATAAGAGCAAGTATTACAATGACCATTTTATAGATGAGAAAATGGAGGTTCAAAAGAGAAGCAACTTGCCTATGGTACAGTATCATGGCTACTAAATTTTGGAGTCAAGACTTGAACCCAAGACTCCCCATCAAACATTCTTTCCATATTATGCTATCTCTCAGGCCTGATGAACCAAGGTGAGCTTAAGGAAATCTTGTCACTAGGGACCCAAGGCTATATTTGGGCAGTAGAGTCTGACTTTCCCGCTCCAAAGGAGGGACATTTAAAGAAAAATGAACTGAAACCACCTAAATGGAATTAGCATCTGTCCAGCCTCAAAACCTTGGATGAAATCCAAAGTCTTCCACTCCAAAAACTTGGGTTTCCTTAATGAATTTTTCTCAGGTCATTAGCCATGATAATATAGTGCTCATTAGAGGCTCTTACTAATGCATACCCACTCCTTTGTGCCTCCTTTAATGGACGACTCATGCTGTCTGGGTCAGTTAATGCATGGCCATCCTGGACCTGTAGAAGGTCCCATGTGAATGTATGTTCAGATTTATCTGGGAGTTGGGAAGATTTGCAGAGGCTTATGAATTTGAGTTCTATTCTGTAATAGATTCAGTTCATATCCCTATTACTATTCAGAGCACCACCAGCCCCCTAGGCTCAGAAACTTGGATTCATCTTTGACTGGTCCCTCTCTCTCACCCAGCTATAAGTTACCAAGTACTGTTGATTTTACCAATGCAGTATCTCATACAATGACCCTTCCTTTCTACTCTATTATTACCACCTTTATTCAGACCTTCATTAGATCATTCTTGGGCTGGTTCAATAGTCTCCTCATTTCCACTCTTTTCTGTCCCCTGTTCACCCTGCACCCAGATCAATTTTCCAAAAGTATAACTTTTATTATTCCATTCTCTTGTTAAAAGACTCCTATTGTCTACTGTCCATAGTTATACCTTCTTAGTCTGGCATTCAAAATTCTTCATCATTTTCCCCAAATTCTATTTCTGATCTTACCTCTTACTACTCCTCTACCCTAGATTCCAGTGAAAACAGACTGCCACACTGTTCTCTGAACATAACCTCATACTTTCCCACATTTATGCTCTGTTATTTCTTTCTGGATTACCTACAGACCCATCCACCCTTTTCTTCATCAGTAATACATAATTTCAGCTATGTCTAGCTAATGACATGGATAGGCTTGTCCTCAGACTATAGATACACCATCTATTATCTCTAAATATTGTGCTTTGGACATTGTAAATGCTTCATCATTCCATCTATTCATCTATCCACCCATTCATTTTAAATGTCACTTCCTCTAGGAATCTTTCCCTTAGTTCTACCTTCATCCACAATAAATAATGTTTTAATAAAAAATCAACTCATATTTGTTACCAACAATATGCAAAAAGCTTTGCAAAGGGGAAGAGATACATTTTTTTTTAAAAATTCCCTTCCCTCAAGGAGCTTACATTCTATGGGGGAAATAATAACAACACAATATACACATACACAAAGAATCTATGATTCTATCACTTTTGGGAGCTCCTGGTGTAGATTTCCTTCCACCAAAGTAATAAATCAATATCAGTCTATGATTTTAATAGAGAAATCCTACAGATGGAGAGAGGGAGGGAGGAAGGGAGAGGGACAGAAGGGAGAGAGGAGAGGGGAGAGGAGAAAGGGCAGAGGGGAGAAAGAGAGAGAGAGGGAGCGAGCACTCAGGGAAAGCTTCATGGGGTATTTGGAATCTGAGTTGAGCATTGAAAAGCAGAAATGGAGAGAGATACACATTATGGGGGTGGATCACAGAACACAGATCTATAGCTAGAAGGGCCCTTAGAGGAAATCTATTCCAATCATTTCATTTTACATATGAGGAAACTGAGGGCTGAGGAAAGTTAAGTGACTTCCCCAAGGTCACACAGGTAGTAAGCATGAGAGGCCAGGTTGAACCCAGGTCATATGGTTCCATAGCTCAGGCTCTTTCTACCATGTTGTACTTTTACTGGTTCTGGCTTGGGCAAATCCAGAAGTAGAAGATAGAATGTTGAGTCTGGGGAACAACTAGGACTTGAGTTTGTTTGGAACATAGAGTGCTGGAAGGGAAATAATGGGAAAGAAGACAGGACAGTTGGGTAGGCACCAAATTGTAGATCACCTTAAAGGCAAGGCATTGGCTTTTATCCTAGGGGCAGGAGGGAGCCACTGACAGCTTTTGAGTAGAATATTGAGTAGGGCACACCTATGCTTTAACAAAATTATTTTGGCCACTGTGTAGATGATGAATTGGAGAGGGGAAAAAACTAGAGCCAAAGAAACCAATTAAGAGGTTATTATAATAGTCCAGGCAAAAAAAATAAAGGTGAACTTAAATTAGAGTGATGGCCATGTGAGTGGAGAGAAAAGTACATATGGAAGAAATGTTGTGTAAATAGAATTGACAAGATTTGACAACTAATTACATGGGTGGGGGTGGGGATAAAGGAAGAGTCAAGAATGGCTCTGAAGATAAGACCTTGCATGTCTGGGTCTTATATAGAGGTGCAGCCTCTATATATAGAGGCTGCACCTCTACATAAATAGGAAATTTTGGAGGAAGTGATTTTTTTTTTGGTGGGCAGGGTGGAGATAATAAATTAGGCTTTGGGGCATCTTGAGTTTGAGATGTCAATGGGGCACTTAGACAGAAGTATCATTCAGGAAATTAGAGCTAAGGGACTGAGGTTCAGGGGGAGAAAAAGGTAGGGCTGAATAGATATAACTTATTGTCATCTGTACAAAGATGATATTTGAACTCAAAGTAGTAATGATGTTACCAAGGGAAAAAAGGGCAGAGAAAAATGAGAGCTGGACCCAGCAAGAAGCCTCAGGAGACATCTGTGATGAGGGGTTCAATGGATTGTTGTCATTGTTGTTCATCCTTCATTTTCAAAGAGGACCAATGACATCATGGGGTGATGGTTTGACTTGTGTGTGAAATGGATTTAAGTGAGGCAGAGTTACTCGAAGTCATCAGCCTCACTCTCTCTTCCAGAATCATCGAAGTCCTGTGGCAAGACAAAAGTCAAGATGACTGGCGATGGTCCGGGACACAGTGGATGACCTTGGCATCCTTGAAATCTGACCAAGCTCAAAGCACTCCACAGCATCTGCTTCAGCCACCTCTATGACCTTTGGAACAAACTGCTTTCATCTGCCTATTCCCCTGGGGGGGAATGTCTTCACATGCTTGGGGTACACATCCCCTAACTCACTAATGGGTTTGAGGCCCTTCAGTCACTCTGCACCTGGTTTAGCCCCTGCTGCTGAAATGGTTTTACTAGGGTGTGGCCATTGCACCTGCTACTGCTTCTTGGAGGCACAGGAGTTAGTTTAATGGATAATAACTCAGCAAAGAAGACTGGAGAGTAATGACAGGTAGGAAAGAAAATGTAGAAGTAGGAGTCAAGGGAGCAGAAAAATATCTGAGAAGAGATTATATTTCAAAAGCTGAAGGGTTCAAGGAGGATGGGAATGGA